AGTTGACGCCTTTAAGTCCCAAACTGGACTAAATGTCGAAATGCCTTGGCATCGAAGTGTTCTTGTTGCAATCTGATACCGAGACGATCTCATTTCGGGGTGATCTTGTCTCGAGGTCACCTTAGCCCGAGATAAATGGGTACCCGAGACTGTTGTGCTGCAGGCTGGTCATGATGAGCTGTCATCTGTTAGTCAGGCCGTGTCCACGTATCCCCCTGTTACGAGATCGATATATATATATTTGTCTTTTTGGTGGCTTTCTCTTCTCGCCCAACAGTTTACATATATATATATATATATATGTTTGTCTTTTTGGTGGCTTCTCTTCTCGTCCAACAGCTTACACCATGTTTCCATGTGAAAGCACGAGTACACGTACTGTATCATTTTCTCGATCGATCATATCGTGGGCTCACTGCTGCAGGTATGATTATATATATAATTTTTGTAATTGACCTACGCCACTATATCTTCTACGTCTCCCAAATTCAACGTGGGCGCCCCAAATTCTGACCATCATATATATATATATATAGATTAACCTACTTTATCTCCCCACAAAGAAGAAGAAAAGATTGGAATTAATAACAAACTTATCATCATATTCATATCTATCTTTTAATTTGTTGAACAGCATTATCTGCCGACGGCCGACCTCGGGCGCCATAGCTATAGATATATGTAGCTATTACTCGTCAACATATAAAGTTTCAATTAAGTCTCAGATTAGTGATCTATTTTCTCACCTTCCTCGCTCCATTATTCGTGCGTACCGGCCGGCCGGTAGCTGACAATTACATATTGCGTGTGCAACCATGTTACTGCATAAAGTTGACAAGGGTGGCAAAAGTGATGAAAACATATGGAAAAAAATCCAAACAGGACCCTATTGATCATGGGCGGCATGAATTGGCCTCATTTTCGCTCCACGTCTTCAAATTGGGAAATATCACCTAAAATTATATTGGAACTCATCTGTTCGGTAAACCTTCCAAAATTTCAAGCTGTGGTAAATTAAATATAGGGAAATTTTCCGATTACTACTTGTAAATTGTAATTTGGGCGTAGTGCCACTTTTGTTTCCGAATTTTAAAATGCGATGATTTAGTACCCAAACTTTTTAAATATGACAAGTTAACTAGTTTTTAACCAACCAGTAAGTGACATTTGAAAAAGACACAAATGTCTTTCAAGTGTCATCTAATTTTTTTTATCAACCATTCAAACATTGATAAAAAATTGACAGTCTTAAATCCTTAATAAGTTGGGGTCACTAGAATACCCATTCAAATGTGACTCAAATTTTCTTGAATGGAAAAGACAAAGATTTGAAACTGTTAATTTTTGTCAATGTTTAGATGATTGATAAAGAAAATTAAATTACACTAAAAGAGCATTTTTATCTTTTTCAAATGCCACTTAATAGGTAATTAACCGCAGGTACTAAATTGTCACGTTTTAAAAATTTGAATACTGAATTATATAGCATTTTAAAGTTTGGAGACCAAAATGACACTAAAACTAATCGAGAATTTTCCCTTAAATATATATTGGCATTAATTGTTAATGTTGTCTATATATACTACTCTACAAGGCTATATAATAAAGAAAAATAGGAACCTGTAAGAATGTTGGTGCTGGCTGAATTGAGTAGTACAAATCAATCAACGATGTAATAAAAGCAGCAAATTATTGTGCATGGTGATGGGGTTCCAACTTGACCCTCATCAGCAGCTGTCCTGTGAACCGGCCGGCTGGATTTCCTCCCGGAAAAAAGCACAAGGATTTTGAATTTGGCCGGCAGCTGGCTGGTTCCCCGTGCAAATACAATTTGTACCCATTTGTACTGCTAAAAGTCTTTCTGGAAGGAATAAGACGAAACATGGGTAAGAGAGTGGGGAATGACTTAGCTCTGGATGACCGTTATTTTTTATGATCACTGTAACCAGTTGATCCTCGTTGCAACTTGTACCATTTGAAGGGGTAGTGGAAAGAAACTACACATCAGATGGTTACAGTAATCCGATCTGTGAGAAACGTATACGTCCAAACATTTTGATGACTTGTTGCTTCACTGTGGGACAAATTTTGATACTAATTTTCCAGAAAAGAAATAGCCGTTGCGTGTGTGGAATCATAGTATTTTTTTTTTCGATGTAGGGTGGAATCATGTCTAGAGTGTTAGAAATACAATCAACAATATTTTGATTCTCGCTACAGACAAAAGGAGACAAAAATGGCCGTTTGATGCAGTGGATCTGTTCATGAGGGGGGAGGGGGTCGGAAGGTAATATACCATAAGAGGGTGTTGATCAATCCACCATTTCTCCAAAATTCGGGACCAATCCGGCCCTGCTCTCACTATAATTCTAAACAACAAGAAATTAAAATGGCTTAATGACTAGCTCGTGCCATTTACTCATTTAGGGTGCGTTTTTTCCTTGGATTTTAAGAGGGGAAAAGTTGATTAATAGAATTTTGATTTTCATTCATCAAGAATTTTATATTCTTTTTTTTAGATATATGTAGGGATTAAGAAAAGTTTATTTTCTTATGTATCATTTATCCAGGTGGATAAATAATTTTTTCACACTTAAAGGAATATTGTTAATACTTGAATAATATAAAAATACCTCTTTTAATAATAAATTTTTATGGATAAAATAATCATTACCTTATTTATATAAGAAATAAAAGAATGAATAAATGCATTTACCCGAATAAATAACTTACCAAAAAGTAAAAGGAACGAGACCTTAGTATTGCTACAATGAAATATAGAATTATGGGCTATCGTCTCTGAAGAAAAGGCCAAAGGATGAAGGGAGAAAGTGAATCGAGTTCGAATCACTCCCCAACAACGTTCCACAGCACATCCCCGTTGTGTATTGGAAACATCTCCAAAAGCTGATATCATCAGTTGTGATACTATCATGGAGAAATGTTTCCATTACAACGCGGGGATGTGCTGTGTGGCACGTTGTGGGGGCAGTGAGGGGCTGATTTGATCCCAAGTGAATGACAGAATTCTGCACTAGTTAGGTTGAATTCAGCTGGTGAAAAAAGTCAGTGAAATGCAGATGTACGTAGTTTATTGCTGGTTTCCAGTGACCAAGGGGCTGGGGCTGGGGCTGGGGCAGGGATAGACCGAAGAATCCCGCGTTCGTTTTCCATTCTCAATCCCCTGGAGATTCACACCCAAGCCAGAAATGCCTGGTCACAACCTCAGGGTCAGAGGTCAGGGATCTAATAACAACTATAAAAAAAGAAGCAACTCAATGTACTGTATTTCTTCCCCAGGCAACTGATAGCATTTGGGTACAAATGAAAAACAGGCTTTATTTTCAATCCGCCAATCATCACTTGGTTAGGATTTTGGGTTTGATTCTATTAAAATCTGTCTGGCAATTAAAATTGTTGATTTGATCAAGAATCGTTCCATTCGACTAATTTCACTGCATCTATTTGATTTAAACCGTCAAACCAATGATCCGTGACTAATTTCACTGCATTTACACTTTACATAGTTGCATTTGTGCTTGTGCTACTTCCAAACTGAGCCATGCTTGAAAGAGGAACGCCATGCACCAGACAGACAGAGACAAAACCATTTTTTGACCGACAATGAGTGGGACTCTTCCTCCTACATAAAAGCCTGTAACAGTAAAATCTTACTCATTGATTTTAGTAATAAATCTATGCTACGGAAAGACATGATACCCAAAGACCTTCTATTAATTTTAATAATAAATTTATGCTATTGAAAAGACATAATACCCAATACGTTTGACCAATGTATGATTATTATATAACTATGATACCGGAAAGACAAGATATCCGAAAAATTTGTGACCCCGTATCATTAACATGTTAACCAATCAACCCCGTGTTAATTCATTGCTTATAAGGGCCCGTTTGGTTTGCAGAATTAGAATCATAATCTTTTCAATCGGAATAGTTAATTCGCTCAAATTAGAATCATAATCAGAATTGGCTAAAATGGATTTTCATTCCAAATAAAGCATTCCCTCAAATAAGAAAATGTCATTAATCTGATTCTATTTTGTTCAACCAAATTATTGAAATTAGATCTATTCTGATTCCATGCTCAACTAAATGATTGGAATTGAATCTATTCTTATTTCAATTTCAGCCTATTCTTATGAACCATATTAGGTAGGTTATTTTTAACTAGCCTATAGGAAAATAAATCAATATCTGTAATTAGTACTGCTAAGGTGCTGGAAGAGAGAACAAAAATGCCAGGGCTACCCTACCTAGTAACTGCACAGGTCACCGGAGGTCCTGCTGTAATAAGCATAACACTTGACTAGTGACAGTTCTTGTTTCCCATTAATGGTTCGTTTATTTGTCAAATGCCACCCTTAATTGGAGTCCGGCTTCAGTCCAGGCAACTTTACTGAGGGTACCTTTCCGCCCTTCGTGCGGTTGGAGGACACGCCACGCGTCCTCTAATCGTGTAAACGTCCTCGAAAAAGTGGGTTTTCGAGTCCCCTCCTCTCGCTCAAGTGTTGCATGTTTTCTCTCCCTCTCTCTCTCCCATTCACCCGACAACGACTTAACAACTATTACCGCCGGTGACAAACAACCATCACCGGCTGTGGGATGGATCGAAAGAGGGTGAAAGAACCCAGACCAGTTGGGTCGGTATTGAGTGCCACCAGTAGCAGCGACTCGTCTGCTCTCTCCATGATTCCCGCCAGGTTCACCAGTATCAAAGTTGACGTTTCCGATTTCATCTTTCTCGTCTTCTCCATCACTTCCATCTCAAGCTCAAGCACTCTGTCTCTGCGTGGCTCTGCTCTTACGGTAGAACTAATATCAGCCCTGTCAGATAGAGATCGAGAGAGAGAGAGAGAGAGAGAGATGGGAGATTGAATATCTGTGTTCTTGGCTGTTTGGCTTAGGACCTTTGGTATGGTGACGGTTGACTCAGCTTCAAGAAGATGAATATGTGTGGACTTTGAACTTCGTAGCCAAGACTAATAAGACCATCAGTGACGATCTTTCTGCAATCATCCTTAAGTTTGCAACTCTTGTTCTTCTCTATGATCTTCGCAGTGTCCGCTAAGAGGTTTCTCCCGGCAACGCTCGCACAAGGAACCAAGCTCTGTTTAAGAAAAGGGGAATTTTTCATTTCAAAATAAGACATGATAAAGTTCTTGTCTTCAGTAACTGAATGTATTAAATTGAAAGAGATTCTAGAAAATCAGTATACCTTGAGAAATTTGCAGGCATCGCCACAGGAAGCTGCCGGCATCGGTTCACCGAAACACTTGCACAAGTCGAATTCATCTCGGAGCTATCTTTGCAGTTTCCATTGTGGCAATTACATCGATTTCGTCCGCATTTGGCAGTTGAGGAGTGCTTTTCATTGTTTTCTTCAATGAAGTTCTGAACCATCTTGGCCAAACACATAGAACTCAGCTCCCAATCGTTGTTGTTGTTGTTGTTGTTAGTAGCATCTTTGTTATACTGCTGTTCACCAAGGACGGGCTTCTCAGTCGATGAAAACCTCAGGACACTTGGGAACTTTTGCCACTGGAAAAGCCTCTTGAGACGCGATTTCACGACAGGCTTAACCGCGGTTTCACGACAGACTCTTCAAGCAAATGGCCATCTAATGGCTGGATCTTCAAAGGAGGCATGTTCTTTAACGAGACTAAAACCAAAGAAATCTTTTCTCTTCTACCTTCAACTGCTGCTCTCCATTTTCAGGAACGGTAAAAGCAAGGTTCGTGAAAAACGTGAGGCGAGGAACGGAGATACGGACATTCAGGCGACCTATAGAAGGATCAATCGCCGGGGTTCTCATTTCTCCGGCGACAAACGGAGGTTTCAGGCAAAGTGGAATTTCAGTTGGCGTGGGTTTTAAAAATTAATGGCGTCAAAGGTTTCAAACAACTCTCCGCATGCTTCAAACGTTTACACGATCGCACGAACAGTGTCCTGACTGAAGGAGCCTGGACTGAAGCCGAACTCCCTTAGAGTCTTGCCCTCCAAAAAATTATAAAAAAAAAAATGAAAAATACATCCAAAAATGTACTTCCCAAATCACCCACTCTAGGACACCAATCCCACTACATATCTTAATGCCTTAAGATGCTAGGAATCGGCCAAAAGTTGAATACCAAAATCCTGAGGATCCATGATATTCAGATTTCGGGTCATCTAAATCCCGGATAGCGAATAACTGAATACTACTCATCAAAAGAAAATTGGTTCTACTTACAATCCTCCTGCCTAGCTTCGACCTTAATTTCTTTGTTGAGGTTTCAGAGAGCTCTGCATTGGTGTCTGTGTGCTCCTAATTAGTCGGTGGTGTCATGTTGTGTGTTTGTTAGGGCTCCTGCCTTTTTTCTTGTGTTTAATGAATTCTCTTTGCAGAAAAAAAAAAGTAACAATGCTAGTTACTTATTGAAATTTGAAACTGTCAAGTGTCTACTTTTTTGAAAATTACAGTTTATGCAATATGCCTGGCTATGGAAATGGATCTGATTTTGACTCCGACCCGTGATTGAATCAATACATGTACTACATTTTTCATTTTGTTTACATATGTGACCCATGAAATGAAAAAAAAAAAGAGAGGAAGAAAAGCAAAGCAAATAGCTAAAAGTCATTAATCGAGCGCAGAGAAGACTTTTTTTAATAATCTCGTAATTATCATTTTCTACTTTTTTACTTTTTCACACACTATTACCACAATGATTTATTTGATTTAATTAAGGCAAAAGACCATTCTTGAGACATCCTATTATTTCACAATTATTATTACAAAATTATGGCAGCTGTCACGAGCAACGTTCGAATTCAGGATTAAAATATAAAATAAAAAATAAAAAATAGAAATACAGACTTGGGATCTGCTGGTTCCCTAGTAGTAGCAGCGGTATCCATTGCTGGATCCTCCATAGAAATACCGCGCATTGTATTCATGCGACACTGACTGTTAAGAGTGTAGTTACTGTACTTAACACTCGTAGTAGATGCAGATCCTGGGGAGTGAAAAATGCAAACTTCTAAGATCCGGCATCTGTGTTCTGCCTGAGTGTTCAGCTTATTTCTTTCTTTTTATATTTTTAATTTTGCAGCTTATTGGTTGGAGCACTTGTAGATCTTGTAGAATAATGTGGTCCCACCCAACCATCATCGATTAACTCTCAACCGTACGCGTAAACGCCTGCCACACAATCTGGTCTCTGTAGTTGCTGGACGAAGGAACTAGGGCTGGAGCCTGAGATAAATGATGTAGCACCGCTATTTGTCTATTTGATCAGTTGGGAACTTGGAGGGTCTGATCTTTCTCCCACAGGTGGGACATGCCTGGTCCCCACCATAGACTCATAGAGGGTAATTGTTAACGGTCGAGTTTGTGGGGCTCCATCACTGGCGCGCAGTGGATGAAACCACCTTACCGCGGTAAACGGCGTATTGGGACGGGGTGAAGTTCACCATTACAGCACGACAAACGGAGTTAGAGAGAGTGACTTGGGGCGCATTCCCCACTCAACCCTGATTCCCTGAACCTCCTCCTTAAGTCCTATCACAATAAGAGACCCTGCCTTGTGCTTTCCCCCACTCATTCTCAGTCTCTCCCTCTCACCACTCTCTCCACCTCCGCCACTTCCCCACTTCCCCCTCTCTACTAGTTTAAAAAGAAGGCTCAAAACAAGAGGCAACGACGACTTTCACTTTTTCCTCCTCCTCCCTCTTCTTTTCATGCTCTGTTTCTCTCGTAAGCAGAGCATGGAGCGCTTCACCATTTCTTTCTTCCTATTGATCCTCTCCATGCTTGCAACTGCAGGTAAAGTTGATGCTTCGTTATTCTTTTTTTTTTTTAAGAAAAATTTCTCTAAAACACTAGCGACTCTTCTCTGATTCTGTCTGGCTGATGTTCTTTTTACGACATTTGCAGATGCGGGAACAATCGGAATAAACTACGGTAGAGTTGCCAACAACCTTCCTTCGGCAATGAAGGTAGTTCAGCTCCTCAAGTCTCAGCGTCTGACCCGAGTTAAGCTCTACGACACTGATCCGGCCGTGCTCAAAGCCTTTGCTGGCTCAGGCATCGATGTCGTCGTTGCCTTGCCAAATGAGCAGCTCTACGCGGCGGCCAAGAGGCGGTCCTTCGCGGACACGTGGGTCCAGAAGAACATCGCTGCTTACCACCCAGACACCCAAATCCACGCCATTGCCGTGGGGAATGAAGTCTTCGTGGATCCACACAACACAACCGAGTTCCTTGTCCCAGCCATGCGCAACGTTCACGCCGCGCTGGTTAAATACAACCTTGACTCCGCCATTAAGGTCTCCTCTCCCATAGCCCTCAGTGCTCTCCAGTCCTCCTACCCATCCTCTGCCGGATCTTTCAAAACTGAGTTAGTCGAACCCGTCATCAAACCCATGCTGGATTTCTTCCGCCAGACTGGATCATACCTCATGGTAAACGCCTACCCATTCTTCGCTTACGCAGCAAACTCCGATGTTATCTCCCTCGATTATGCTCTCTTCCGAAACAACCCGGGTGTCGTGGACTCCGGCAATGGCTTAAGGTACTTCAGCCTCTTCGAAGCCCAAATCGATGCGGTATTTGCAGCCATGTCGGCTTTGAAATACGACGACATAAAGATGGTCGTGACCGAGACGGGCTGGCCCTCGAAGGGAGATGAGAACGAGACGGGAGCGAACGAGGAGAATGCAGCTGCTTATAACGGGAACCTGGTGCGCAGAGTTCTTGCCGGAGGTGGAACCCCGTTGAGGCCTCAGGAAGACCTGGATGTGTACTTGTTCGCGTTGTTCAATGAAAACAAGAAGCCGGGACCGACATCTGAGAGGAACTACGGTCTGTTTTACCCTAACGAACAGAAGGTTTACGACATACCACTAACATCGGAGGAGGCGAGACAGAAGGTTCCGGTGAACGGCGGGAAGAAGAACCAGATGACGCCGGTGAACAATGGAGGGAGCGTTTCGACGAGCTCGTCGGGGCAGACTTGGTGCGTGGCGAACGGGAAAGCCGGGGAGCAGAAGTTGCAGGCGGCACTTGATTATGCTTGCGGAGAGGGAGGAGCTGACTGCCACCAGATCCAGCCAGGTTCCACGTGTTACGATCCTAACACCCTAGAAGCGCACGCCTCATTCGCGTTCAACAGCTACTATCAGAAGATGAGGCGTGGGATGGGAACATGTGACTTCGAAGGGGCCGCATACGTTGTCACTCAACCTCCCAGTGCGTATCTTATCACTTATCCCCTCTCTTCTTTTCATATCATATCATTGTTATTCATCACTCATCACCACATGCGCAAATTAAAACATTCTTTCAGTAGTTCCGGTGAAATTAACCCCATTCAAATGGTCGTAGCTCTGGTAAAAATTTTATGTTCTGAGACTGTTTGATGGCGATGAGTGGTCCTATTTCTTTGTTTATTTTTTTTTTCCTAAATCAAGCAGTACTAAAAAGATGGTGTTTGGTTTGTTTGGTTTGCAGAGTTTGGGAATTGCGAGTTTCCTACAGGATATTGAGAAGACAAAAGAACTGGCATTCGGTGGATCTGATTAGAAGAAGAAAGGAGGAGAATGGTTAACATTTTCATATAGCTTAGGATTTTTTTTTTTTTTTTCTTTGCTTGTATGTAGTGTAGTGAGTAGTTGTGGTTGTTGAAATTTATATGACTGAGATATGTGTAATTAGATCAAATCCATCCATATGAGTACATATAAATATATATTTATGTTCATTTGATTTCAACAAGTTGGGTGATGAAAAACTGATAAAGTTGAGAGGTTGCGTGGAGACAGGTGCTGAGGTCCCTTTCCCTTGTGCCAAACTGCCAATAATGTCTTGTTTTAAATTTCCATATGATGTCTAAAAATTAAAACTCTCTTATGTTACAGGGAGTGGGTAGATCATTGATAGCATTGTTTGAAAAAGAAGGGAGCTCTGTGTCTCCTAGTCAATCATCGATTTATTGATAGAGATATTGGGAAAAGAAAGCTTGCTACAGTGAAGGAAACTAATGTGAAAATTTTCAGGGAAGTTGGAATCCAAAAACCCTACTCCGTTCAGTCCCCTTCAATCAATTTCCCACTGCTATAGATGATTGTGGGGGCTACCCACTTCGTTACTTTTTATGTTTTGAATCAGAGGTCGATTAAAAAGGTGGGATTTGGATCTGGAAATGGATATCCAATCCATAAGTGAAGAAATCTCATCATGATCAATATAAAGGAAGCATGTGCTATGGGACCCCACTACCTCAGTCTTTTTATTGTTGTTACATGCTACACAGAGGCCAACCCCACATGCATGCCTTGTCAAAAAGAAGAGATGAATTTGGTATAGGCAGTAAGTAAAGGTGAGGGACAGACAGTGCAACTGAGAGAGGAAACTCCCATTCTCTATAGTCTCTACACTCCACCCATCCATTCTATTCTGGACCGGCCCTGCCCAAAGGTATTTCTGGATCCTCATGTGGGTTGGGGGTTATTTGGCAGTTCAAGATACAATTCACACAAATATTTAGTATGGAGGAAGAGAGAATTTTCTCTGATGCATTTGTTTGACGAGTAGTGATTAGATACATTAATAGGATGTTATTTTTATTTAATCTTCCTTTGCTGATCAATAATTAATTAAGGGTAGGTTGAACCTTCAAAAAAAAGATTAAGGGTAGATTGATGAAACTTCCTCTCAAGTTTTTGACTGTTGCTGAAATTTTCCCTGAAATTTGGTACTTTGGATACAGTTGCAAGTAGATTCTTTTCTAACAAGAGGCACAGAATTGTCCAAAGTACGAATACAGTTATTTTTTTTACCAAAATGTTTACTTTTCACATTTTTCTCTTCATAGTTCATATCAATGGCTATTCCAATCCCTTCCAATCTCTTTTCATTTATAATTTTTATGTCTCTTATTAAAGGATTTTAACAAAAGGGGTTTACTTAAGGCCTGTTTGGCAAGTTTTCTTGAGAAGATCTTCTCGTAGCTCTGATGACACAAGATCTAGGCAGCCCGAAGACCGTTTGGCAAACGCGCATCTTTCCGTGTATCGTTTTGGGTCTTTCCATGTGAAATTAAAACACAGAAGACGCGAAAAACTTCATTTAAAACTTCCCATAATCAGGTCAAAATGGATTTTTCATGTCTTTTTGGTACCCCATCCTTTGACAGCAAGATTTTCTGTACGCTAAACGGGAATAGACCGATTTTCGGTATTCCCGACTTGTAAGCAGGCAAAAGACCATACACGCCAAATAGGGCCCTAAAAAAGCGAGAGGTATTGAAATTTTGCCTTTACTTAGAAAGGTGAGAGGTATTGCAATTTCGCCATTACCAAACCTGAGGAGAGGTTATAGCAATTTACCCATAAATTAAAGAAGTAAAATCAAAGTCCAGAATACAATAGTCAACGTGTTACCAACATATTTGTAGGTGGTAGTCCGTAGTCGTCTCATGAAAAGCGTGGGTGGGTCTCAAACTCTCAACATAGTTGCTGCAAAGATTCTCATTGCCTGCCGCTTTTCAGCATCGTCCTCCTCTGTGTGGCAACAAAGATAAAAAGATAAAATATGGTTGTTGTAATCACATGGCACATGGCACTATGGCAGTGAAATGGAATGATTTATCACTTGTATTGTCCATTTACCAAGCTTCACAACTTCGCTGACTAAGATATCGCTGGCTTTCCATATACAAACATTGCTGCTAGCCTAGGCCTGTCCTCCACTCATGGGACCGGCCACTCACCACCATTTATAACCCACCTACGCCAATTTCCTACCTTAACTGCCTCTACAACCTCGAACAATTTCAGAGCCACAGTTTTTCAATCCCTACAATTTCCTACCTTAACTCATCCAACTGGCAAGGAGTGCAAGTTGGATGAGTTTGGAAGGATCATAAATATAAATATGTATAATACAAATATATAAAAAATACAAAGTTTTGCACTCTATATAAATTTGTATTTATACTCCTTTCAAACTGAGCTTAAGGTTACATTTGATTGCAGGGCAAATAAATTTGTATTGATGCAAAGCTATGGTAGTGCAAATGATTTAGGTGTAAATTCTTATGTAATTTTTATTTCAAATCTTACCTTATTTTATTTGATTTCAGTACAAGTAAAATAAAGTAAGACCTGAAGTAGAATATAGTAAAACTCAAAACAAAATTAAATCAAAATTTGCATTCTTTTCATTTGTACTAGTGCAAATGAAATTGCAACCCAATCAGGCCAGGCTCAATACAACTGGGAGGTTTGCCTGATTTGAAAGAATTTATAAATATATTTTTTACGGTCATTTTTATTAGGTTTCATGGCAAATTTAAGAATAGAATGGATTGAAAACATGTATAAATTTCATTAACAAATGCAAAGCATATATGTTGTAGACCAACCCCTTAGGCTGTGTTTGGTTTGAAGGAAAAAGTAGGGAAAGGAAGGTAGGGAAATCTTTATAAGCCTTGCATAGATTTCCCTACCTTTTTCGTTCAAATCAAACATAGCCTTGGTGTCTAATAAATGCTTCATTAAGTGTATACACCTACATGTATGAGTAACTGAATTCATATTAGGTTTTAGATACCTACCACACACAGACACACTGATTGTTTAGTGTGGCCAGTACAGGAAAAAAGTTCATCAGGCCCAACCATAAGGTAACCCGATTCAGTGAGTGCAGAGACCGTTCAAACACCCATTATAGCCTTGCATTGGGAATATCTTCCAATAAACACAGAAGTGTGGAGATATTCCCGATGCAAGGCTGTAAAGGCTGTTCGAACGGGCCTTGCACTAACTGAAGCCGATCTCAACCCTAAGGTGCACATCTTGGATTTAAGCCTGACCCAACCCACAAACTATGTTTAACCCAACAGAGCTCACCCAAAACTCAGGCTCGAGTTGGATCGGGCCGGGCCCCATCCAACCTGGGAGGTTTGCCAGATTCGAAAGAAGTTATAAATATACTTTTTACAGTAATTTTTTATTAGATTTTATGGCCAATTTAAGAGTAAAATGAATTGAAAACATGTACAAATTTCATTTAAAAAGTGCAAAACATTCATATTGTAGACCAATCACTTAGTGCAAAACATTCATATTGTAGACCCCAATATGTAGAGTGCAAAATCTTATGAGGCCAGGTAATGGTAAATCAGTAGTGCTTGTATATATAGTTGTATTCAAGCTTGTTCTCAAAACAAGCCACATGTAAAATTTGGGTCTAATTGAAGGTAAAAATTTCTGATGAATCGAAGTCTCTCTTTGCAAATTTTGGATGGACAAGGAAATCTTATTCTAATGACAAAATGGGTGTAGGGGGTATTTGGGGCCTCGTCTTCCAGAACAATGGGTCCAATTCTGTCATGTGGCCCCGCCCTTTAGCCACATTGGACTAAAGAAGACTCAGCCATTTTGTATGCTCTCATTATCCAAAACATGACTTTATGATAGCAGCAATTTTGGGAAATTCTGCACTGAACATATGGTATCATCCACAAACCATAATTTCTAACTCTGACGGTCTAGTGTTTGATCATTTTTTTTCTGAGCATTATTCATGCTACAAGGATGATCGAAGGGAGGGCAGCGCACTCATAACGCATCGATCAAGCACAGAGATCGATAGATGCATATATAAATGCATGGCCAAACTGATATTTTCCCAAATGGGGATTGTTTGTTATGACAGGTTCAAAAAATGTGCGAGTTTTCCTCACATCTATCGGACATTCTCTATTAAAGAATAAAGATATTAATAGAGGAAAGTACAGAGAGGATCTCACTCTGGTGGTGAAGAAACCAAACCGAGTCCGAAGGCCTCTCAGCGCTGCAAAACAATCCCAAACAAAATACATCTTTGTCTGGGGCTCTGAAAGCTCTTTGTAACGTGAAACAGGGAGGTTAGAAAGAACAATCAAGCCAAGGTATGTAACCGATCGAAGCAGCAGCAACAGAAGAAAGAAAAAGAAGCAGAGAGATAATTAAGGGGAGTATTAATTGTTCTTGTCTTTCCCTTCCTCATCTATAATCTTGAAACTTGCTGGCGTGGTGATCGATCTTTGATATAAGACGATCGATCAACCATGCCAAGCAAGATCAGGAAGGCGATTGGGGTCATGAAGGACCACACGAGCCTTAGCCTCGCCAAGGTTTCATACAATAATTCCTACAACCTTGACATCGCTGTGCTCAAGGCCACCACCCATGAAGAGGTTCCGGTAGAAGAACGGTACGTGAATGAGGTTGTCATGCTCACTTCCACCTCCGACCTGCACGCGGCAGGCTGCGTTCAGGCAATAGCCAAGCGCATAGGTCGAACTCGAAATTGGGTTGTCGCGGTTAAGTCCCTCACGCTCGTTCTTAGAATATTTCAAGAGGGCGATCCGCACTTCCCTCGGGAAGTCCTCCACGCTATGAAGCGCGGCAGCAAAATTCTCAATCTTTCAAGCTTCCGAGACGGCTCTTATTCAAGCCCCATGGACTATTCAGCTTTTGTGCGTACCTTCGCCCTCTACCTCGACGAGCGCCTCGACTGCTTTCTCACGGGCAAGTTCCACCGGCGCGCTGCAAATAAGCATAGGGACCAGCACAACCGTTCTCGGCGGTTGCATGATCCCATTTCTAATATGATGCCACCAGTGTTGATCGATAACATCTCCTGCTGGCAGCGTTTGCTTGATCGGGTGATCGCCACCCGCCCCACCGGTGCCGCCAAGCATAATCGTTTGGTGCACATAGCTCTCCACTCAGTGGTGCGGGAGAGCTTTGATCTCTATCGGGATATCTCTGACAGTCTCGCACTTCTCCTCGATCGCTTCTTTCACTTAAAATACCAAGTCTGCGTTGATGCCTTTCAAACGTGCATTAGGGCCTCGAAGCAATTTAAAGAGCTATCAGACTTCTATGACTTGTGCAAGAGCATTGGCGTCGGACGAACGTCCGAGTATCCGAGTGTGCAGAAGGTATCTGATGAGCTCATAGATACGTTAAGAGAATTTCTCAAAGACCATGCTTCTTTCCGAAGGCCACCTAATATGCTTCTCCCTGCCTCGACCGTCGTCAACACATCAAATTGCGAGCGGCTGCTGCCTGAAGCTTCTCGACTATCCGACGGCGAAACATCCGAACATCCAGCAAGGGTGTCAGAGGAGAGAAGCTTAGAGACAGAGGATGAGAAAAGTGTGACTAATATTGGAGGATCAAGCCCATGCTCATCCGTCTCCACTGATCAAGAACAATCTGAGATACAATCCCAACTTGAGGATTTGACGGGAATGAATGAATGGGGAACAAGCTCGTGCCCGTCACCGTCAGTGGTGTCTGTTGGGCAAAGAAGTTTAGGTTCAAGTCTTGATCTAGTACGACTGTTCGATGATCAGCCCCGACAAGAAGAGGGGCAACGGCGATCAGTTTCGGGATCGGTTGCAGCGGAAAGGGAGGGTTGGGAGCTTGTGTTAGCGGAAACTGCGAATGACATATCATCCAACCCCGTCCAATCGAGTAAAAACGAACCCTTGTTTAACAGTGATAGACTGTCTGATCAGTGTTCGTTCCTTCAACAAAAATCCCACAACAACAATCCCTTCCTCCAAGACATGGGTTATGAGATAACCACGCAAGCCATCATCCCGCCCATTGCCGATGTTCTCTCTTCTTTCCCAACATTTCAAGTACCCCCGACGTCTTGTGCACAAGGCCCCAGTGGCACTGACACGACGGCGACGGCGACGGCGACGGTACCATCGCAAATTCAAAACGACCCCTTTGCATCATGCAATCCCATGGCCAATGTAGGCAATTTGTCGGATGGAGACGGCTCCATGAATCAACATCATCAACAACTGTGGCTGCAAACACTAAAACAAGATCATAGCGCGAGGAATGTAGCTTGATTGTTTTTTCTTTAATTTCTTTCCTTCAAAGGCATTTTATTGGTAAAGGAAAAAAAGAAAGGCAATGGAATTTCTGTAAATAATAAGCATAAGCATATGTTGTATATAGGGTAAAAGACTTAAACCTCCCCTTTAATGAAACATACCTTCCCTTGGTTTTCTCTTGGAATCCCCCCACTTAAAACTTGGACTCTAACACATGGGAATTAATAAGATGTTGTTAGATTATAGGTTAAAATACAAAATCCTCCCCTTAACTTTCTGACAATCATAAAAACCTCCTTTATAGTTTCCTTTTAGCAAAAACCTCCTTTTCTATTTTTAAAATATTTGACAAAAACCTCCCTTCCGTTAATGATCATGACAGAAAACATGTATAGTTGCGAAATTACCCCAAAACACTATCTAATCACTTTATAAAGTACCATATTTGCCCTCAATAACCTCCCCGCTCTTCTCTTATGTTTCCCCATCATCCTTACACAACACCGAACTGCCCCCACATAGCCGGAACCTCCACCGCCCCTACACTAATCGGACCATATCAGTAACTGTCTTTGCAGTTCTTTGAGATAAGTGGGATAAACTAAAGCAAGGAAAAAGAAATAAAAAACCCATTATTCTGGGACAATCAATAATCAAGAGCCATGTTAATTATTCCGATCCCTGTAAGTGTAGCCAATACCTCTACCTTGGTAGAATCTACTATGCCTACAGCCGACACTCTTTACCTAATCTGTTAGTCTCCTAAACCACTTGGGTGCAACATACCTTTTGGTTTCCCTAATAATTGTATGAGTTCGACTCTGGTTATTCATCAAAAGCTTTGCCAATCCAAAGTCGGAAATCTTAGTGTAAAACAATAATAAAGAAGTATATTTTCACAATGGATGATTTGGGTTCTACACTCTTCATGCAAATACAAGAGCTCCTTGCAGCTCCAAACACAATACAGGTGCGTTGGTTCCAATTGGGCTTTGGAGTTCTGAAAAGGAAGCTTGTTAAAGCACCATTGCTCATGAACTCATACACAAGAAGTCGATGTTGTCCTCATTACAATACCCAATCAACCAGACTAGATTCTTGTGGTGGGTCTGTCCAATAACACCTACTTCTATTCTAAACTCTTGCTCACGCTCTTGAATTACTCTAACTTCTTTACTACAACATCGACCCCTTTATAAACAGTTCCAAAAGAATCCCTTCCCAGCTCTTCGCTGAAATCAATTATAGCTTCTTGGAGGTCTTGGTAAGTAAAAGAGGATGGAACTTCTACAATATTTCTTTTTGGTTAAATCGATTTTGGTTTGTTGCTGTAAGCTAAGAAAACAAACAGGGTAGTTACAACTATCAGTACCAAGTTAATAAAGACAGATCAAGCTACCCGAAAACAACGAGATGATGATGATCATTATCCTTCTCTTATCTTTCTTTACATGGAGATTGTTTACTTTTACTTTGAGAAGAGCTTCCATTAATGTTTATGTTTATCCTTCCACAAAGTGGTAGAGTCTTCTTCCAACAGGTTTGACCTGTGAGAACTACAACACACTAGGGAGTGTGATCACCAACGAGAAAAATGGAGGAGTGGCAAATAGAGTAACGAGAGAGAGAGAGAGAGAGAGAGGGCGGGTTGGGTAGCGATCCCAACGGTTTAGTTGCTCCTTTGTCTCCGACAACAGTATAACGGGATGATGTTGATGAGGGTGAAGGAGCTTGGTAGGGATGAAAGAGAATAGCAGAATGTTGGAAGGAGGGTAAAATAGGTATTTGGAAAGATTTGATCATTTGTTTAACATTTTTTTGTCAAATTTTTTAAGAATAACAGGGAGGTTTTTGCTTAAGTAAAACTATAGAGGAGGTTTTTATGATTACCAGAAAGTTTAGGGGAGGTTTTTGTATTTTACCCTAGATTATATGGCATTTTATTTGACATCACCTATAGTCATTTATTCCAAAATACTACTTGTTAAGATGTTTATTAGATAAGGCTGCATTTGGATGCAATGTAAATTAAGAATGATGTAAAATTAATATTAGTTTGGTTTTGTATGCATTTGGAAAGAAGGTATAATTGTTATTGACGTAAAATTCCACTCTGTTTCATTTTTGTGTGTTTGGATGGAGTGGAGTTTTATGTCGATAATCAATATAAAACCTCATCAGCTCTAAAGTTTTACATTGATAATCAATGTAAAAACTACATCAATTTTATCGATGTAAAACTTTACTCTTCCACCCATCGCTATTTTCAAAAAATAACAGTCACTTTCATGATTCAATATAAAATGCAGCCTTAGATAAATGTTTGTCTCGATGATTTATATGAGAGTGACAGAGAGTCATTGGGGGAAATATCATTTTTGATGTTACCCTAGCACCCAAATGCTTATTTACTATTTTTTTAATAACACCTAACTATCAAATAATAATAATAATAAATGTTTCTTTCTTTTAAAATAAATTCCATATCAATAAATGACCATGATACCCAACCTCTAAAACACCAATTATAGTTTGCAAATCGCAACCGCTTTACTTAATTGACTTTCTACGAGGAACTGCTTGTATAGGAATGGTGAAAGCCAGGACTATTTGCCTTACCATTTTCGTAGGCTTCCTATTTAAAAGTTGACTATTGGGCCAATCGTGTGGGGAGGGTTTTGTTTCTTAAAAGTTGATAAAAGAACTAGTAGGGGTATTTTCAGAGAAAGACACTTGGACCCATGCTCTTTACCTTTTCCCATTCGTTTCAATTCACAAACAAAAATACCAACAATTTGCAACAGAAATCTTGATTAAATAAAGCAGTTGCAAATTATAGGTGTTCTAGTAATATGCAAAGTACAGGGTTAAGTTTTATTGAATACGTGAAGCTATAAAGATGTCTAAGTTTGTATATGAAATGTGATTATGTAAAGACAAGGTTTTTAAAATCAGATCGGACAAGGAACTATTCTGGGTCTGATTCATGGGTTGAATGGTCCAATCGTCTGGACTGAATGGACAGCCCATTCTAATAAAGAATAAAAAAAATTAAAAAACCAAAAAAATGGCCAAAACCATTTCTAAGTCGAATGATTTGATGGTCCGATCGCTTGGGTCAACAATTTGTTCACCGAATCAATGGTTTTTTGGCCAAAAAGTAATTTTGGGGTTAAATGAAGCTGATCAAGTGACCGGTTCCCAGTTTTTAGTCCAGTCCAGTTTTAAAAACATTGTGTGAATAACTTAGACCAAGAGACCAATTGAGCCAGTTGGCACCTTTAGAAAATCTACACTTTTTTAAACATCTTTTTTTGCAAACACATCTTGAGACTAGTCCCCTTTAGAAAGCTACTAATAAGCAAAATATTGAAAATATAAAGCGCCATAGGAATCATTTTGTAATGTTGCATATTCCCTTGTTATTAAAGAAAGCAATTCTCTCCCAATCTCCAATTGTTTGGAACAAAGAAAAAAAACCTAAAATCTGTTCTTCTACAAAGAAATACTCAACATCAGAGCTTTTTTGCTCTTCTTTTCCTGTGGTCAGTGGTTTATGGGTGAAATGGTGATCTTTGCTTTTACCGAAAAGGGGGTCACCAAAAGAAAAGGGAGGGGGGGGAGGGAAGCATGGTTTTCAAAACCACAGCGGATAAGACGGTCAGACTGGAAAAACTAGTTTTACCCTATAACCTTTATTTCCCTCCAAAACCGTTGATTTGGTCAGCATACCACTGACCCGGGTGGTTGAACCGTTTAAATCATTCAACAATTTGGCTAGTTTTTATTTTTTGTCAGTATGGGCTATCCAGTTTGAATGATCAAACTATTCAACCCGGGAATTAAAGTAAAGAGAACCTTGCTTTTTAAAAACCTTGAATTAAAGTAAAGAGAACCTTATAGGACCTATACTTTGCGTAGTGACACAGGTTTCTGAACTTTCATTTGTGATAGAGTAGAGCTATCTCGTTTTTTTTTTTTTTTTTCAAATTTCAACATTTTGCTTCATTCTGTTAATTTTTAACTTTTGTGAGACCATTTCGTCCAATTCTTTAATGAATTTATGAACTTTTCATCTTTGGACTATCCTCTGTCCCTCTTAAAGAAATAAAGAAAAAAGGAAAAGAAGAGAGAAAAGAATTCATGCAGCTCCATTTGAAGAATTTCAACTTCACCCCATTTGGGAGTACTTATTTTGGAGAACTTATTTTAGGCTAGGACCACACTAATAAGCACTTACTTGCATTTGGTAAATGCTCTGAATAAATGCTTATTTTCCAAAAAAGAAAAAGCCCATTTTGAAGAAGCCAAAGTTTTAAGCTTATTTCAAGCACTTCTTCTATAAGCACTTTTTTTCCTGTTTCAAAGGCTAAGTTTGGAAGTGCATAAAAATAAATGCTTTTTCACCAAATTTTAGGCTTATTTTTAAGTACTTATTCAATAAATGCTTATTTTCTTTCTGGTATATCTTGGCTTGCCATGTCATTCTGAAAATATCTATAGTACCCATATTTAAAATAAGTGACTTTTAACGCTCATAAACGCTATTTAGAATAAGCACTCCCAAACTTGGCGATTCTCTTCATTCAGCCCTTTCTCTCCTCATCACTTCACCATCTCTTGAAGGGCAGCAATAGCAGAAGGACGATCTTCCACCCCAAAACGAAGCAGAAGCTTAATCCAGGTTTGTATACTCCTTTCTTCCTTTTTCTTTTTTACTTTCATTTTTTTCTCATGCCAAGTTATCTCCTTGCACTGTTTTGCCCGACCTACAAGTGTTTTTTCTTCTTGTGTTCAAGCATTCTTCACCACAACCATTCAAATGAGAATTAAGTTTGTTCCCAACTTAACAATCTAATATATCTCCACACTCCTCTAGCAATCCAATACATCACACCTCACTCTTCCAAGCAAGGTTAAATTAGTCCTTTTAAATGAATAAGCACTTAAGAAAAAAAATTAACCAAACGCTCAATATTTGATAAAAATGCTTATTTAAAAGGGGTAAAAGACTTAAACCTCCCTTCATTTTTATCATAAATATTAAGACCTCCTTCTCAGCTGTATCAGTCGTTATATCTTACGGATGAG